TTTAGAAATCCAATATTTTTAAGATGCACCGCTCTTCATTCAAATGCCTCACACAACAGCATAGTTGTGAGATAGTGAGAATTGCAGTAAATTTGGTCGGTTCCAGATTTAAAATGTTTTTTCTTGCTTTCACCACGAGATGGCGCCCAAGGCCAACAAGCTCTAACAAGCCAACCTCGTTTGGCCCTATGTCACTGCCCAGCACCACTTTGCCAAATACTCTGGCACTTTCACGACAGGCCTCACACCATGCTCATGCCAGAGGGTCCAACCTGGAACAGCTGATCAGAGAGTTGAAACATCCACTTGGGTTGCAGCCATTTGGATACCAATAGGCCAACATTCAAACTACATTTGGAATTTTTTTCCCACAGATGTGTTAACATCTTTCCAAGTCAATTTACTGTGGAAATTTCCTTTTAGAAACTTTAGCGGTCCCCAACCCAAAAATGACACACCTGTCCACTGCTGGCCAAGGCGTTATTACAAATGTTACCATTGAGTGCAATAAAATGGACACTCAATGTAACTTAAACTTTTGAATTTACTGTTGTGTTAAAAATCCCACTGTATTACTCAAGCATGGCCCAGGGAGGACAGTAAGGGCAAAACCTGGGAGCTCGTTAGAAATGCAGAATTTCGGGGTCTGCTCCTGACTCGCTGGGTCAGAATCTGTGTTTGAATAAGATTCCCCAGGTGATTCATGTTACATTTGAGTTTGAGAAGCACACAAGAGTCAGGAGCCCACATGTGGTCTTCTGTAAATTAAGTTTAAAAAGCACTTCCCTGCAGACAGATGCAGCCACAAATGTGTGAGCACAACAAGATTTCAGCACCCGCTGGCACTTTTGGCCAGGGGCTCTTGTGCTTGGATTTAATCTGCACATTACACAGCAATCCTGGATATTGATTTATTGATGGTCATATTGTGTTGTCTCTCTCTCTCCCTCCCTCCTCCCTCCCTCTCCCTCTCTCTCTCTCCTAGCCATCTAACACTCCTCTCTATGTGGAATATATATCCAAAGACCCACTATCATATATGTATATTATATATGATATAGATATTATATTATATGTAATATTTGTTTAACCAGAACACAACAGTTTATTTACAAAGGTATCTGTGGAAAGCACGACGACTTTTAGCTACTTGGAATATTTATGTCACCTCCATTAGTCCTGGCAACCAGAGTTGGTTATATTCTTTTTTTTTTTTTAACATTTGTTTATTTTTGAGAGACAGAGAGGCAGAGTATGAGCAGGGGAGGGGCAGAGAGAGAGGGAGACACAGAATTCAAAGCAGGCTGCAGGCTCTGAGCTGTCAGCACAGAGCCCGATGCGGGGCCTAAACTCACAAACCACGAGATCATGACCTGAGCCGAAGTAGGACGCTCAACCGACTGAGCCACCCAGGCACCCCAGAGTTGGTTATATTCTGGGGTAAACACTCTTGCACTCACAACTCCCATGGCAAAAAGGATGGAAGGGGCACCTGGGTGGCTCAGTCGGTTGAGCATTTGATGTCAGTTCAGGTCATGATCTCAAGGCTCATGAGTTCGAGTCGTGTATCAGTCTCGTTGCTATCTGTGCAGAGCCTGCTTTGGGCTTCAGATCTTCTGTTCCCCCCCCGCCCCCCCGCCCCTTCCCCACTTGCACACTCTCTCTCTCTCTCAAAAAAAATACATCTTTAAAAAAAAATAACAAAATATTCTTGATGGTCTTTGCTTTAATTCTCATCTTGTTCTTCTTAAACCTTTTCAGTCTGATGCCCAGCATCTGAGGAATTAGGTCAAATCCTCCCCCTGGCTTGGGCCACCCTTCCCAGGGGGCAGTGAGCAACTTGGTTTCACATGCCACCAACTGAGCTAAGCATTACCCAAAAGAAGATTACAAAAGGGCAAAAAAAGCACCTACAGGAGCACAGATAAAGAGGCAGAGATAGATGGGGAGAGAGGGTGGGCAGAAGGACAAGAGGTGGGGAGAAGGAAGAGCGATGAAAAAGTATTGGCAAGCAGGGCTGACCATACAGGATAACAATCATTATGACCGATGATGGTGATAATACTCCCCGTCTCGTGCAGAATTACATCCAGAGTCCTCACCAGGGCCGGTCACCTGCCCTCCTCACGTTCCCCCCAGACTCAGTTTGAACCCCCCCTCCCTCTGCAGTGATTCCCCTGGCTGGGTAGGCCCCCTCTCCCCTCTGGGAACACTGGTGTAGGCTCCTGCTCAGGGATTTTGCACCTGCTCTTACCTGTGTTGAAACGTGCTAGCCCCATGTGTCTCCAGGTGTCCACATGTCTTGCTTACTCCCACCATGAAGTTTTCTGCTTGGAGTCTTGCCCCTGCCCCTTTTCCCCTCCATCTTGCTTTATTTCCTCTTCAGCCTTTATCACTCCTTCACATCTTACATATCTGGTTGTCTCTATGTCTGACTTGCTGGACGAGAATACTGGTTTCAAGAGAGCAGGGACTTTGTTTTGCTTGCCACCCAGCCTCCAGCACTGGGGACAGTGGCTGGCACAGAGTAAGGGGCAGTGACTTGAGGGTTTGCTGTGTGCCAGGTACTCTTCTAAGTGTGGTGCACATACAGACCTGTTTGCTCACAACGGCCCTGTACAGTAGGTTTTGTACTGAAGAGGACCCCCAGGCATAGAGAGGTGAAGTAACTCACCCAAGGGTTCTTTGGGTATGTTCTGACTTTCCATTGACCGGTCTTTCTCCAGTGAAGGATGTTGGGCAAAGGATGTTGCCCAAGGGTTGGGCAAAGTACATCTTGCTGGCCAAATCCAGCCCACTTTCTGTTTTTATAAAGTTCTGGTGGAACAGAGACCTGCCCACTGGTTTATGTCTTGTCTGTGGCTGCTTTGTGCTAGAATGGCAGTGCTGAGTCGCATGACAGGGACCGTATGGCCTGCAAAGCCTAAAACATTTACCAACTAGCCCACTGCAGAAAAAAAATTGCTGATCCCTCTTCTAGAAAGTCATCCTGTATGAAAACAAAGCAAACCCCACACTGGTTATCTAGTTGAATGTGGTGGTCCAATTATTGTGTTTGATCATGTCTTTTCTAGGAATTCAGATGAACTAAGAGAAAAAAAAAAAAACTATGTGATTTCAATAAATGTGCATTTTCATCACTGTTCCCAGTTAGTTGTATGACCTCAGGTAATCATTTCATGTAGCTGGATCTGTTGTCCCATAGATAGTAACAACAACAACAACAACAACAGCAGCAGCAACAACAACTCTTGCTAAATGCCAGGCTCTGTTCTCAGCATTTTACTGTAATATGATAGTGTGTGATACTCTAAGTTAATCGGTTGGAATTTCCGTAAATATTCTGACTGCTCTTGCAGGCAGACGGTAGAATCTTGCTTCCACACCCACTTGGTAGTGAGTGTGGCCATGGATTTGCTTTGGTGAATGAAGTGTTGGAGGAGTTGTTAGAGGAACTTCTGATCAAATGTTCATAGCTTGTGCACACACCCCCTCTCGCTTCCCCCCTCCCATCTTTCCCCTTCTACCATGGCAACCAGATATGTTGGAACCGGAAAGTGGAAGCTCTGCCAGCTGAGTCTCAGAGTGTAGACAATACAGAGCAGACCCCCTGGTTGATCCTCATTTAACACACTTGTTTTTGGTTTTTAAGCCACTGAGATCCCGGGCTGTTTGTTACTGAAGTAGCAGCTAACCTATCCTGACCAACAAGGCAGCCACTAAGATTCTCTCCAGGTCAAACTCTGGAGCTTTAAGAACCCAAGGACCTCTTCCTCTTCAGGAGTAGAATCTTCATTGTCTTTGCCATGGGAAGTTATTACCCTGTGATGTGGAGAAGTGATGGGTGACTGCTGGCTGTGTCTAGGGTATTTTAGTTAGGGTGTAGGAGAGAGGACAGGAAGGGGGACAAGGTTCTCTTTGAATGAAGATGGTGACAACCCAGTTTGCCCTGTTGTTACTTCCATGATAGCTTTAGGCAATCTTAACCCCCAAATATCTGCATTTGTGGCCATTTTAAAATTTCATCACTGCTCATTCCTTTGGGTAAAATACTAAAGACTCTTATTAAAATGTGTGTACGTGCAAATGCATGCAGGTGCGCAGTTATAGAAAGGGTAATACATTAAGTTATTAGCAGTCATAAATAAAAACCAATGCATCAAGTTTTATTACCTGGAAGGTAAATGAATGAGGCCTAAGAGAAATACATTTTGAGAAGGATTTAGAGAAAGGCTCATACATAGACATTTCCTGGAAATGGAGAACGCAAAGCAGCCAGGGTTCAAGGTGCTGGGCTTGAGGGAGGGCTGAAAGGGAAAGGAGGAGGAGGGAACAGATACAAATGTTAATCATTCTGACACAATTTCAAATGTCAGTCAGACCCAGGAGTGCTATGAGTTTTTAATTTAAGAAAGTAAAAGAAAGAGGTTGGCCATTTCATCATTTTTATCAATCCAGTTTTAAAAAGATTCAAATTGGCACAAAAAGAGGTCGGGAAGGGGAGGGAGCGACAGAAATTATGTGAACTGTAAGCCATTTACTTTTTTCCCTTCCCATTTTCAGTCAGAATACTTCCAGATTGCACGTTTGGTTGACAGTGCAGGGCATTTGATGTGTGGAAGGTTCGCTGGCTCAGACTGGCAGACTTTCGCCACATTTGGGCATCGGGGGAACTGTTTTACAAGTTGGAGGATTTCTGCATTGTCCTGGAAAGGGCAACTAGTGTCTGTTTTAAGATGAGCTACGGTTCATTCTGAAGTGTGGGTGGGCTTCTGTGTGACCAGCATAGACAAGGCCAAGAGGCAGCCGTGTCAGGAGGCCTCGTGTGTGAGCAGTGGATGAGCCTCCGTGGTGGGAGCCATTGATTGCCCTTTCCCCTACAACAACAGAGAGCGTGCACTGAGTGCCTCCTCTGTGCCAGCTCACCATCCTTCTCTGAACACGCCGGCCACCAAGCCAGCACGTCACACAGCTTCTGAGGCACCATCCACTCCTGTCAGGGGCTGCGTGGACGCTCGTCCCACGGAACGCAGCACGAGTGCGCTCTCAGGAGTTGTGCAAAGTGGTGACCTTCTCCCTCTCCAACCTCTTCTTAACATCTCACCTCCCAGATGCCATGGAGAGTGACCAACTTTTGCAAGGCATGCGGCAACTTTTCAAGGCTAACTCTTCTGGGGTCAAGGCAGGAAGGAGTGGGGTCTCTCGAGGAGCTGAGTGAGTGGGAAGAGATGGAGTGCAACCTTGAACTCATGTTGTATAAAGGAGACAAAAGAAGGTCTAGAGCCAGAATGGGATGAGGGGCTTTGGGAAGTGTAGGAACTCCCTCCCCTGTTGGGCAGAGCCAGAGAGGAGGGAACCTGTACCCTGAAAAGTCAACACTACGTTTCAGGGAACCCAAATGAATAGTACATATGGTTAACACATTTCAGGAATTTAGAGGGATGAGAAGGCTTTGCAGCCTAAATCATATAATTTCTTCCAATGCTTGCTTGCTTTTTCTTTCCTTTTTTTTTTTTTTGAGTACATATTGCTTTTATAATCAAAGAAGGCAATAGCTATTTCTTCTTGACAAAATTAACTCAAGTGTGTCGAAAAAAGAGGTGGCAACATAAATGCACACCATTAATGTATTACTAGTTATTTACGTTGATTGATAATAATGATAATAATTTATGTATAGGTATACAGTAATTATAATTTAAAAAAATTAATTTATACTAATCATTGGTGATGCTGAGAATAAATGAGCATCAGCCATGGCATGGGATGAATTCACCTCTTTCTAGATGTGTGTCTAAGGGCAGGAAGTATTTCTGACATCTGGACCATGAGGACATGTGAACTTCTTGTTTCCAAAAGTTTGTCGTGTCACGTCAACATCTGTGCTTGGTGTACCCAACCCGTTAGTAATTATTAACTGAACTGAAAAGCGCCGTATTGATATTTAATAAACCTCTGGTTTGAGGCAAGGTTTTTATTATGGAATTTCTTTTCCCCCTGACCCACCAGTGTTACTTTGATGTGTTCTGGTCTAAGATTCAGAGACCCAAATGCTCCCCAGGTTTCTAAGCTTCCAAACTTTGGAACATCCAGCATATCCACTTGAAAATGTGGACTTTGAAATTAATAAGATTTTGTCCTAGCTGTTTGAGCTCATAACGCATGCAATAGCACAGAGAACAAGTCCCATCACGTTAAAAAGCCCCAGACAGGTGATATTTTTTAGCCCACATTATTCTCTAGTGAGGGCAGAATTTCTTTATATCAGTACACACAGTAAAAACGTGGGGGGAAAAATCTGCACTTCATGTCTTTTCTTCCTTGTGTTTTTCTCAAACTCCTTTCTCTCCTGTAATTCCATAATTGTGTTATTTACGGAACCTCTGTAAAGTGCTCGGAGATACAGTGTATAGGAATGATGTCGTGGAAAATGAAGTTGCTATGCAAGCCGCTCTACTATCTCAATATGAAGCATTCTGAGCATGAGGAGCACAGACTTTTTGACAGCAAATGAAAATAAAATGAACAAAATAGTTTTTGATTCATCCTAATAACACTGGCAAGTGATTTCCTGTAGCACTCATGCGGTAAGAAAACCATGCTTAGTTTCCTCTGCAAGATGAGCCAGAAATGTAAAAAGAAATATTAGTTCTCAAGTGGCAGTACCTTCTAAATTTGGAGCTATGAAGAAATTTGAATTCATTTAACCTATTCATGGGTGAGAAAAATCAATACCTAGATAAGCTGAAAAGCTCATGGAAGACCACCCAGAAAGTGGAAGAGTTGAGCTGAGAATCCTGGTCTCTGGTTCCCGGCCATGTGTTTGTGTTTGTTTCCTTGGGTCACAGTGCCTTGTTCTCTCTCCAGTGAGGGTTTGAGTTCATGCAACCTTTCTCTTCCACTATGCTGTGGTTCACTGTAGCATCAGAATTTGGAGTCCATTTTGACATAAAGCTTATGTCTTCCAATCTCTAGAAGTTTTATAAAAAGCATTGGAGAAAGAAAGGCCATTCTGCTGGTCAAACCCCCGTGGTGGAAAAAACGAAGAATTGTGAAGAAACGAAGACGCTGGGTTTTAAGAAGTACTGCTGTGAAAGTTTTGGTTTGCGTTCATGAGCGTGTATGTTTTTTATTTTTTCTGATTCTGTCTCTTCGCAGACTGAGATGTTCAGCAATTGGATTCCATTTCAAAGTCAACTTTCCAACTCAGTGAAGCTGAGTTGAAGTTGTGTGTGTGGACTCTTATTTTAGGAGGACCCAAGTGTCCTGTCTATGCCAACGTTTTCATTTTTTCTTATCTGTGCATTCACGATGACTTCTTTTGCCTTGAAATTGAGCTCCATAAAAAAATCCTGTTTAACTATTGTACTTGCCCCAGTCCAAACAGTTCTCCAATCAAATAGTCCTGCCTAGCACAATACCTCCTCTCAGAAAGCCAAAAACACAGATATGGAGCAAAGAAAGTGCAACTGTGTTAAAGTTGTTTAATAGCCCGCCAGTGTACGGGGTGGGGAGCGCAGGGGGAGAGGAGGCAGGGTGGAAAGGAGGCAGAGACGTCCAAAGAAAGAGCAACGATTTTGCTTTCAGAAACAAAGTTAAAGAACATCTTTTTTAAACGATACGTGGGATAAGAATGCAAAGTGTGATCTAATAATACAGGCTCCACCATCAGCTCTCCCCAGAGAGAGAAAACTTGTCTGGAAAAGTTAAGCAGATGGATGGCTGTTGTCATGGAGATTTTTAGCTGTCTAGGGCAAAGCTCTCTGGGAGTCTCTGACATTTTGGGGTGTTCATTAGATGGGTGAGGGTGTCTTACCAGCCCAATAAGATCCAGGGGGTAAATCCCATTGGCATGGACAGAAAGTCTCCACATCCTTGAAAGTCTCCACGTCCAAGTCTCCACCATCACCAGGAAGTTCATTCTTTAGTAGTCAGGAAAAAAAGAATCCTTGGTGGGGGGCAGGGGAACATGGAGCCGTCTGGCAAAGTAGCCCGAAGCTAAGGAAGAGAGTTTTTAACAATAAGCCATTGATGATGAAGAATTTCAGAGATGAGACAGAGAAGATATTAATGGAAACCATGGACGGGTGGGTTGTGAGGCAAAGCAGAATGGGATCATATCATAAGTGCCCCCAATACAAATAGTGTTCTGGCTTTTCATCCTTAGACTTCTGTGGAAATGTATGCTCCCTGACTCTTGCATGTGCAAATCAGCCGAATGTGACAGAAGGAGATGTGTTCCCTCTCCTGTTGAGTTCTGTGAAGCACTAGATGGAGGGAGTTTCTGAAGTCAAACTGCAAACTTTCTTTTGGGAAGATTCATTTATTAAAAATGACAATGACAACAGGCTGTAAAACATTGCTGAACTGCGTTTTAAGGGTACAAACTGAAGTCTCTTGAGATTTATTTAGTCGTTTCTCCTAAATTATGTTCTTATTTTGAGGCGCACTGAAATCTTCATTTCTCTTTCATTGCTAGAGTATCTTTCCACTGTATTTGATTAGCTTCATCTTGATGACACACAGATACTCATGGCCCTTTTGCTGGTTTCTTATTTCTGAGCCAGGCTCAATTTTATAAGCCAGAATTAGGCTCATCATCTGTCTCAGTAATTCTCAAACATTACAATGCATAAGTATCCACTGAAAGCCTGTTACACTATGGCTCCTTGGGCCCCACTCCCAAAGATTCTGATTGAGAAGGCGAGGGGTCCAAAAGCCTGCCCTGTGACAAACACTCTAGGTGATCCTGATTCTCACACAGTTGGTCCACCAGCAGCACTTTGAGAAACACTGCCTTGCTTTATCCCCTTCCAGGCGCTGTCCCCTTCTGTTCATCCTGTACTCTCTCCAGTACCTACCACCAGACACAACTCTTCAGGGTCCACATCAAGGGGAAACCCAAGTGACCCCAAACTTTCCCAAAGTCCATCCCACATGTCAACGGCACCTGAGTACTTGCCAAGTCTCTTCCATCATTTAGTATCAGTGTCCAATTCCACCTGCTCTAGAATGGCCTCTAAAGCCAGGCAGAATAGGAATGAGATTGGTAATAGCTGTGCTTCAGGCAATCTCCCAGCAGGCGATCATAATCATCTCTTTAGTCCTTTGGTCCATCAGTTACAAACTGAAACAGCTGGGTGACCCCAGTAGTTCTCAAATTTGGGAGGCAGACCACCTACAAGTCTTTGTGTAATACTGTAGAATTTATCATCTGCTTACTCCCAAGATATGAACTAGGGACGATTTTATTGAATCTTGACCAAGCAATGTAATATCACAACCATGACCACATGAGTAGCAGATGGTCTTTCCAGAAATGGCCACACTCATCTGCATATCACATCCCACATATTCTTCACATGACCTATGTGACTGTCACTTCCATCACTGGGAGGTGGTCTCTGTGTTTCCTCCTATTGAATCTGGACAGAAATTTGTCACTGCTCTGACCCACAGAGTATGGTAGAGATGATACTTTGTGGCTTCCAAGGCTAGGTCATAAAAAGAATGCACTTGTACTTAGTGTTCCCACCTCCCAGTATCCTTAACACTAGGAGCCCAGCCTCCACATTGTGAGGAAGCCCAAGTATAACATGAGGTGATCACTCTGATTTAGAAAGCTGTGTCACCTAGGTGTAATGACTGGGTTAAGGGACAGGAAATTTTTGCTCTCTTATGCTCTATTATGGAAATAATCTCTTATTATCTACACCTGTGCTGGTGAGCTTAGGAGTTTTTCATTTATGTCCATTTAGATTTTTTTTTTAATGGCAGCCATGGCTATCATGATAAAGAGCTTTGATTTTTATTCTAAGTACAATGGGAAACTGTTTGGGGGTTTTAAGAAAAGAAAAGGTATGGCACTATTTATATTTTATAAAGATAATTCTGACATCATGAAACATGGGTTGTATAGGTAAATATGGAATCTGGAAGCCTGTAAGAGGTGAATTTAGGGAAAACACGATTATGGTGTGGACAAAGAAGCAATAGTGGAGATAGAGGTAACTGAATGGATTTGAGAGGCACTTTGGAGGGAGAGGTGATAGAATCTCCTGTTGGATTTGTCATGGGGAGAAAAAGTGTTCTCTTAGCTTTTTTCCTGGGTTTCCTGATTGGAAAATAGAGTGTTTACGAGATGGTTAAGATGGAGAGAGGAGTAACTTTGGGCTGGGGGATGCAGATATCAACAGTTCTCTTACCAGAGCCCATTAGTCACCCACACAGATATATCAAGTCCAAAGAAGGGGAAGTGTGGGGTTGAGGAGATAGGTCTAGGCTGGAAATGTAAACATGAGCAGCAGCATCATACTGATGCTGCTTAAGGCCTTGGTGCTGGATGAGGTCAGGGAGAGGGGCAGTTAGGAAAATGAAGTGAGTAGGCAAAGCCCTGGGCAATCTCTGTTTGTAGAACTGTTGGAGGGGAAAGGAGGCTAAGAAGGAGAGGACACTGACACAGGAGAGCCGGGAGAAGTTAGCATGCTTTTAGGTAAATGGGGAATAAATGAATAGAGGAAAGCGAAGGTGGAGGAGGAAAGAAATTGCCGCAGAAGCAAAGTCCTTGAGGAGAAGAGGACAAATGGAAGATTGGTCTCTCATAGGAACAGGGAGACCTTGGGTCTGACCAGAGTGGACACAGAGCGAGCGTGCACAGAGGCTACAGGCTGCAGGATTCAGTGTGGGAAGATGAAAGAGCCTGGCTTGAGTCACTTGGTGTAAACCCACTTGTTTGTTTCTTTGATAATCCTTATGGAAAGCCTGTTTGTAGAAGTCAGCTGGTCTGCGGGAGGATCAGAGGTTCGGTCTGGCGTTACTGGAAGGTGTTTGCATTGCAGAGTTAATGAACTCAGAGCTAAGATTGGCCCTGGGCAAACAGTGAGGAAGAGAGTGCTTCTCTTCAGAAATCCTTCACTGTTTCTTCCACCTCCTCATCCCTTTGCTCAACATCCTCAAAGTACTTGGATAACTCAGGTCAAAAAAGAAAGCATCCAATAAACTTTTCTATCCCAAGCTGTAAGGGCTTGGTCACCCTTCCCAGAACTCTTTGCTTTTTTGAAGAGAGTTCTGGAAACAGACAAGGCAGTTCCCAGTACAAATCCCCAGTGGAGGAAATTCAGGCATGGGGAAGATTTGGGGGGAGGGGCTTTCCACCCATAAATCCCAGTGGGGAAAACAATTATCAAACGATGACAGGATTGAGAAACAAGACACCAACCAAACCACTGTGTGCAAATCTGATTACTGCTCACAGATGCTTTCTGTTTTCTCTTTCAAGGTATTTAAATGTGACGTACTGTGAACCATCATGCTTGGGGGGAGACAAAAAGGGGAAAGAGGAAGGAGGGAGGAAAGGAAATATACTATTTGGCATAGTTAATTGAAATAGCTTATTGACCCTATCTGGCTATGTAGTAATACCTCTCTAATAATCCAGTTACATGTTTAGTAGCGACCCTGGTGGGAGAGTCTAAGCTTTGGGATTAGAACATATTCTAGATCAAAGTGGATTTGGTATGAAAGTTGGCTTGGTTATCACCATGAGTCACTGTGCTTATCTTTAATAAAAAGGTATACAATTTCAGACAAAATGTTTATATGTGTTGTATGAGAGGCAAAGTAAAGAAATATAGCTTGGCTATTTCATAATAAGGAGAAAAGCAGCCTTATTCTAACACCCATGACAGCAGTGACGATAATGGCCATAGTAGCAGCTGTCATATTGAGCCCAAACTATGTGCCCAGCCCAGTGTTAGGTAATTGAGATTATCCCATCTAATTATTTTCATTTCATCTTGCAGATATTTTTTAAAGCCCATGATTTCATAAATAAGCAACTGTAAGTTTGCAAATGTTGGAAGATCAGGAATAAGGTGGCCCTCAAAACTTGCAAAGGTCAAGGGGCAGTGATCTTTAGCAGTAGGATTTTGTCAAGTCCGAAGAATATGTGTTCCCCGTGTAGGTTTCTGCCTCGACTTCCCTTGCTCCACTCAAGCCAAAGGGAGCAACACACTTACCCTCTGCATTTGTTATTTTGTCTCAGTTCTACATCTCTGAATTATTTCCAGACTCTCCATGGATGGTGAATGCTATGTAATGAAAATAGTTTATAGGTCAGCC